CCCCGCAACATGTAGTTTGTGGACAATTAGCTAGTTCACAAAGTCCAATAATGGGTAGAACGGTCCCTGTTAGCTCCAGCACTTCTCTATCTTTTGTAAAAACTTTTCCCCATGCTTCTCGCCCTAAGGTGGTCAGTAAGAATCCAAATGTTGAAGTCAAAAAAGCTAGTCCTATGGCTATCCCTGTTGCCAAGCGGGCCTTAGCTGGCCGTCCTGCTCCAAGTTCGTTTCCTACCCTGCTTGAGACTGAAGCACTTAGGGCTGAAGGCAATGTGTACATGAGAGATGTGGTTTGTATTACAATAGAAGATGCGGCAAGTGGAACTTCAGGTCTGTCAAGGTATCCGGCTAGAACTGTCATGAACTCATACCACCACCACTCTAAGCAAACTGCTAAACAACTAGGTATAGCAAGTTGAAGAAGCATTATCCATTGCTCTCCCACAGAAATGGAAGGAAGAGGTTTTAGATTTTCTGCTAGGGGTTTGGACAGAGATCTGTTTTGGTCGTAAGTAAAGAATATCGTCTTTTGATTAAGACAAGTAAAGGATATGTAGCCTAAAATGAAGAATAAGGTGATAAAGTTGGAGGCAAAGGTTGAAATTGCAATTCCTTGGATCCCAAGACCTCTAGTAAAGGTCAGGTAAACTGTGATAGGGAAATGCAATAGTGTTCCAAGTGAAGTACACCACAACAGAGGCCATGTTGTCCCTTTACACCGTAAGTAGATGCGTAAAGGGTGAAGAAGGCTGTTAGCAATAAGATCTGGGACAGCAAATCTGCAAAATACACTTGCTACGTGTATTATTTGTGTGTCTTGGCGTAGCTTTAGCATGAGAGGCTCAAAATTAAACCATAAGAAGGCAATAGGTATAGATGCAGTGAATAACATAAAGATTGTCCTTTGGAGGGCAAGAGACACTATGGTTAAGTTTCTTGATCCAAAAGCCTGGCTACAAAGTGGTTCCATCCCCAAGGCTAGGCCAGACAATACGGAGTAACCAGTAATATTGGTGAAGCCAATGGCCAGTGCACCACCTGCCAGCTCTAAGCTTCCGAGCCTTCCCATGCACACAACTAAAATCATGTTTTTCAAATAAGTCGCCAAGCCCATAGCAAGTATAGGAAAGCCTCTATCCATTATTTTCTTCAATTCCTCCATGACCTATAAATTGTGGGGAAAAAAAATTGTTATGGTGATTCATACGCATTTTTCTTTGTCTATTCAAAGGTTCTAAAATATTCTGTAGTTTGTACCTCTGGTGATGACGGGTGCTTTTCGGTCTGTTCTGCTTCCATCTTCTTTATTTTGCTTCTGCCTCTTTCCTCTTGTTTTCTTGTTTTGGAGTGTTATAGAGAGAGCTTAACTGTGTATAAATCCTCTTTCTGCATGCAGTTCTGTATCCATGCACAAATACAACCACTCACGTGTACTTATGCACTATATATAGAGAGAGGGAGCAATAGATAGATAGATAGAGAGAGAGAGAAGGAAGGAGATACTGAGAGACACTAACTTGAGTTTCCAGAAGCAAGGATATTTATAGGGGCTGGAGGTATTTGTGAGTTACTGGTTGTTGAAAGCTTACAACTGGAGTAACTATGTAAGAAGCACTGTGAATGTCATTTACATTGAGATATAAGGAGTGTTCCCCTGTGCCAACTATCGTGACTACAGATATCCTCTTTCCAAAAATATAAGAACATATCCATTTCACAACAAATGTAATATCCACTTCCCCTCTTAAAGAACTATGCTTAAATGTTATATTACTGATATATTCTGGCCTGAAGATGTTTTGACATTGAACTATAAATATGGCTCAAGTATCTTTTGTTAATTACAGGTTCTTTCTTGTTATTCTTTCACCTTTGTATTTCAGGTATTTTGACTTTCGCATTGTATGTTGAACTGGTCAAGGGGCTTAAACTATAGGGCCTTCATCATATGCATTCATGTTGTGCATTTTCATTATTACTTTTGGGCGGAAGCCACTAAAGAGACATTCAAATTAGCGTCTCTAAACCACTTAGGACTCAATCCGAGTCAAATGATAGGGATACTCCATATGTAAAGCATAAATATGATTATTTTTCTATTTGTATAGTATGTCTTATGAAAAGCAAATCTGAAGTTAATGTGATATACTCCTAGTATTCTGATTTTCTTTCCACAATTATTGTGAATTGCAACCTTTAGTACAATGGAGTACGAAGTGGCCTAACATTTATTGTTCCTTTGATAATTAAAATTAGGTAATGCCTTTTCTCATGCTAATGATGGAATCTAAAGCTATTTAGTAGTGGTGGACCCAGGATTGAGCTCTTCTCACATGATAGTTGGTGTTTTTAGGCTAAGCAAAAACCTTCCAATGATGTTTACATCAAAGTGTATTCTAGTGTATCCAAAAGATTTCAAGGCCAAACACCATTTTAAATAGTAGCACACCTCTTGTCCTGAAAAGTTAATACAACTGTCTACTTTCAATTTCTTATCCTAATTTGAACATGCCTTAGTTTCCCCGCCCACTTTGGTTTCCATAGCTCCTGCGTATAATGAAGTGTAACAACCTGCCTCCCCTTTGCTTAGTTAGTTATTTTTGGACTCTAGTTGTGTAAGGTTGTTTTCCTCTACTTCATTGTGTCTTTAGTAGGGGGTACATGCTTTTGTGCACCAGAGGACGTGGAGCTCCATGGTTTACTGTGCATTCTTGCTTTTGTTTTTGTACCTGTCTTATGTCTTCAATTCACTAAATTTTGCACCTGTACAACAGGTTACACGAGGGACATTTCACCTTATGCTCAATGTTCAAACCTCAGCAGTTACTAAGGAACATGCATTTGAATTGAGGAAAAAGAACAATTTGCATGTTTTCTATCTTCCAGATCAAAGCTCGCCATCTGGTTTTCACAAAATAGCATTAGGAAAAAGGTATTGTCCATAAATCTCTCTCTCTGGATTTGATAGACGCTCTTTCACCAGCGACCTAAAGTTTTCTTTACAGTGTTATTGTCCTCAGATCACTAAGGTATTGTAGGAGAAATTCTTTTTCAGGAAAAAAGGTATTCTAGGAGAAACCTCCTTTTATTATCACCACGTCTGTGTGGTAATATTGATTAAAGGTAATTAAGTCATTTGAATTGAAAGTAATGTTGTCAGATTGTGATGAAACCATGCATGTGCAGTTTGGTTGCACCTCCTCTGGCATATGACTATTTATCAATAATCATTGCACCTTCTTCTTAATAGCGACAACAAATTGCATTTCAAGCACCATTTATTTCTCTCTCTCCCCATTTCGTTAAAGATAAGAAGAGAATATTCATTTAGCACCAAAATATCATTTCCAACAGCTAGTACGGTATGGTTGTTGAGAGAAACCAGTACTGTCTTATACGGTGACTTCTCCTGCTTTTATGCTGCTAAATGCCTGCACATTTTGGTCCCAAAGTTTCAAGCATTGTATCATAAGAAGTCAAACAACCAACAATGTTTTGATAGGAGGATTTCCATCAATTTCATTTGTCTGAGAAGTTGAAAAAACCATAACGTTTTGATAGGAGGATTGATGTTCTGCACTAACCACCAAATGGGTCTTATGTTGCTTTTGTCTGAAAGTTTAAGCAACTAACTCTACAACTTATGCAAACGTTTTGACATTTGACCAATGCCTTTGTTCCTTGCCCCACAGATTCTTTGGTTGTCTTCTTTTTTCCGCCCTTTTTGACAACCGAAAACAGAACTTGATTATGTTATCTAATCATAATAAACAAATTATAACCTATAGTTTGTGAATAAACTGTACATAATTAAAGTCAAAATTAACAGCCAAAAGAGATTTTGTGGATCTTTGTGTAATAATCCTCCCCTATGGCCCATTGAGCATGATTTTTCTTACTAGATATAGCACTAATTTCCAGGCTAATTAGTCAAAACTTTCTCTCATTAGCGTTTCAAACCGCAAGTATAATTGTTATTTACAGCAAACATCTTTAAAATAGGAGAATCTGTTAGTGGAAAGAATCTCCCATTACTAAGATTGCCCCCATTATTTCGTCTCTTCACATCATGAAAATTGAAAAGGATATTGTTATCGTCAAAGCTTTAAAAAATTTGCCACTTGATATTATCCTGAAATTTGCCACTTGATATTCCAATCACATTTTATCCTTGATATTACATAAACAGAGGCCTAAAAATCAGTATTTTTGGTGTAGAATCAAGTTGCTTTTCAATAAGGCGAAATGGCTTCCTGGCCACTTAAACTTGTCGGGTTTTTTAAAGCCGATACACAAACTTTGGATTTTCCCATTTGAACACTCGAACTCGTTTTTTCCGTAACTAATAAACACATTTGACCATTGATCATGCCTATGTGGCGTTAGTCGGTCTTAATCAGTAGCCCGCGTGAGGAACACGACGCACTGGAGCGTGAAAACCCCCTTCCCAACGCCCAACAGTACAAAATGGGTTATGTTTAATTGTGTTCTTATTCATTCCTTCTAAAATACCCCATTCCTCCATTTTTAGAAGAAGAGACAAAACTTCAGCTTCTTTCTCCCTGATATTATCCTCTTTTGCCTGATAATCCTCTAACTTAAGCTTCATCCCATTGCAAAGATCATTTGACGCTTCTAGATCAGTCTCCAGTTGGGAGATCCTCTCTTGGTGAATCTCCTTTTCTTCCAGGGCTTTCACACAAGTATTATTGTTTTCTTCCAATTTAACCTGCAAACCTTTAATTGTACCAACCATCACATCCACCACAGTTTTGAACTGTTCAATAAGATGTCGACTGTGTGTAGCCGCCAATAGCAATTTCTCAGCGGTCTTTGCGGGCTCACTGCTAACTCAAAATAATCATTTCGCCTTGTTTTTTCGTGAGTTGTTGCTAATTAAGTACCAGTAACTCAAAATAATCATTTCGCCTTATTCAATTCTGGGTCGGAGATGGCATTCTTCAATTTTGGGTCGGAGATGGCATTCGCCTTGTTCATTTCGCTGCAACTCTCCGGCGGCTCCAGTTGGTCGGAGATGGCATTCCAGTGGTCCAAATCGCCCAAGAGCAATGCCAATCGATTCCTGCTGCTGAGGAGGTCACGCCAATTGGCCATTACAACAAATTAATTGTCACAACTTTAAAGAAAACAAATTCTGCGACAGTGTTGATCGGAAAATTTCTCCGGCAATCTACCTAGCTAGGAAAAAATAGAGAGAGGAGAAGACGAAGAAGAACCTAGGAAGGGAGTATTGATATGGAAGTAGAAGAAAGAGTTGCAGGTGTGGGGAGGGGGCGAGATGGGAAAGAACGGGGAGGGGGAAGAGGAAGCTGGAAGGGTTTAAGTGTTTTCTTTTTTATTGTATTTATTTTTATTTTTAAAATATAAATATAGGTGACAATTTTTGGATTGGTCAATTGCTGACTGGATGGACACGTCTGTGTATGTGTAATACACGCGCATAGGCTCAAGGGTCAGATGTGTTTATTAGTTAAGGGAATCATGAGTTCGAGTGTTCAAATGGGAAAACCCAAAATTTGTGTATCAGCTTTAAAAAACCCGACAAGTTTAAGTGGCCAGGAAGCCATTTCGCCTTTCAATAATATATAAGAGTTTAACATAGGGACAACTGGATCTTTACGCCCAAAAAATTTCCAAGAATGTGGAATCTTTTAAGATTACGAAATCCAAAAGGTGGCAAAGGGGTATTTGGCCAAGCAATTAGTGCATGGCCAAACTTTTAAAAAGTGTTTCTAAGTGTATTTTTTTTAAAATTGCTTTTCAAAAAAGTTCTTCCGGGGATAAGCTACTTTTTTCTGCTTCTCTGCTTCTATTCAAAAACACTTTTTTTTCCTTCAAAAAGCTTGGCCAAACACCTTAACTTTGAAAAAAAAATAAACTTTTGACAAAAAAATCACTTTTAGCCAAGAAAAAAAGCTTGGCCAAACAGGCTATAAGGCCATTCGAAATATTTCTTCTATTTTTCTCTATTGCTTACAAATAGTCCACCTAGAACCTTTCTATTAGAAAGAAAAAAAAAAAAAAAGTTGTAGTTCGAGTGCAAGTTAAGTAAAGTCGCCAAAGGCAGTGGTATCATTACCTTCCACCTGGCACTCATTTTATAGCTTGGTTTTATTATTATTATTATTATTTTAAGTTCTTAAATAATTCACATAAAAAGAGAAAAATATCCTTAGCACTTTGTAGAATTTAGATCTACTTCTAATCGATTTGACATTAGTCTAAAAAAATGTGTGTACTTTATCCTTCCGTTTTGCATCCATAGAAATGCATGTGCACTTGACTAAAATGTTTTTGGAGACTCGAAGGTACGTCGATGTAATGTAACCATGATTCACTTTTAGACTCATTCTTTATTTCTCATGTTGCAATAAGATAACATTGCGCTGCCTTAAAAATGAAAATGAGTTAGGAGGAATTTCCTATCTGATTTGATTAGGAAATAATAGGAATATTGAAAGCATGGAGCTTCAATCACACCGGTCAGCTCGGTTGAATAACCGCTATTGCATATGCAGTGTATTATTAAAGTGTGTGATAATCTCATCTAAAAGCTTAAGTTATTAAAGAAAATATACTTTTATTTACTTAATTATGTCTTCAACATGTCTCCTCATGTGCGGGCTTGATTTATTTTGATGAGCCAAACACGTAATTTTTTTTATTTTTTTTATGTTGGGTGGTGGTGAGACTCGACCCCAGAACCTGTGTCTGCTTTGATACCATGTTAAAATGTGTGACTATCTTATCTAAAAGTTTAAGCGGTTAGAGAACACACTTTTTATTAATTAATTATGCCTTCAACGTGTATGATTGATTTCTTAAACTATATTGACTCCACATGTGGAAAGAGTTAAATGTAATGGGATTCTACTTTATCGACATGTTGTGGGTTCATACAAGTTCAGTATTTTCAAATGGAACATAAATGTAGATTGTAATGCGAAAAATCACTAAAATACTGCAACTGAACCAATAATTTTTAAAAATAATAAGTTCATGCTAAATATTTTAAAAGTTGAATCCCCGTAGGTTAAATTCTAAATTCGTCTTTTTTTTTTTTGGTAATCATGTAAATATTACCATTAACAAACAAATTCTTACACTTAAAGAGCATCTAATCTCGCAAACATACAGGGATCAAGGTAACCATGTAAATATTACCATCTACATTCGTCTTTGAATGCGCTTGTCCATATGGGAAGGGGAGTTTTGAAGTTATTATGTGAAATGCGTCGTGTATGTGATTTAATTATCAAAATGTTCCTTAATTAATTATAAGTAGTCCACGTGAGAAAGGTAGAACAGTGTTTGGAGATGGAACCGATATTGTTTCAGTTGGGAGAAGAAGAGCGTATAAGAAAACTCTGCCAACACTATCACTTGCCTTCTCTATGAAAGATATGAAAGGAATCAGACTTTTCATTTGTTCTGGAGTAAATTATCAAACAAAAACAAAAAAAGATAGCCACTTAACCGAAATCTAAATCGTATCAAATAACACAAGAAAAGAGATGTGCTCCTGTTTGTGGATGAACGAAGTAAGAAAAATAGATAATTATTCTGTTTTCCTTATTTTTTCTTGAACCATAATATTGTGCATGTTTTCAAGTGGGTTATGCATGTTATTTCAATGCCATTTGCTTCAAATGTTAGGCAAAAATTGATTGACCTTATTGGTGCAATAGTGCTTTGACAGAAGAGAAGGGGCCATCTAATATGAGAATTAAGGTGTTGGTCCTGGCATGGGAGGGTGTGGATGTTAGAGGGTGATCACCAAAAGTTGTAGTAGAGTGGTAATTAAGTACCTCTCGATCCTTAACCAAAGGTTCGCGTTTAAGTTCTGGGTATGAATTTTATTTTCGGTAAGGAACAATTCACCCTTCAAAGTGGGTCTTTCTGACATAAATCAGGATTAGTCGGGGGCACTTCAGATAACGAATACCAGACGAGGAACCAAAAAAATGTTAGAAGACGAATGAAGATCAACAAATGGAGAGCCAAATTAAGAAGAACATGGTGGCAGAATCATCATGTGAAAAAAGAGGGAGTGTGACATGACATTGGCCTAATTTGCCACCACCTTACCATTGAGAATATTTATTTCCATGGGAAATAGGCACACATTTTTCACTTGTAACATGAGTTGGATAAACTTGAGCAAAGAAGGCTTAGCTGTTAGTACTACTTTTTACTTAAAATGGGGTATTTAGTTTTCATCCAAAAAGTAAAGGAACCAGAAATCTTAGTTCAAAATAGAAACAACACTATATTAAAAAAATTCTTCTTCTTCTAGTTCTTGTTAGTGTAATATGTACAGAATAATACCTAAATGTGAGGTCGAAAACATGTGAGTTAGTTAACAGTCAAGTTTCATGCTCCACGTTACAAAATTCCATCTTTGCGCATGCTATAATTCTCCAGCAAGTTAGGATCTTGCTCCTTTCTTCTCCACGTCTATTTTTCTTTTTCATTTATTCTTCCCTTTTCCCCTTTAAGAAATATACACGTTAGTGTAACAAAAACTATTGAAAAAAAAGTATTTTGAACCACCATCCGATTTATACAAGTGTAATTTTAAGCACACATTGAGATGTAACAATCTTGTTGATGCTCGATTTATATACCAAAATTATACGAGAACATTTGGAAGAGTATGATAGTTATACTTTTTGCCTGCACACGATACAAAAAAGTTTGGTGTTATCGTGTTAAGGGAGCAAATGATACGATTCATATACCTGGATTATACTATAGCGTTTGGAATGACATGATAGTTATAATGTCTATTAAATATTACTTATCATATCTCATAGAGTCATAGATGGAAATCATTTTGAAGAGCAGCATATTGGTCGTCAGGTATAAATCAAAGAAAGGAGGAACTGACTGTGACAAATCCCTTTTTTTCCACAGTCCACTAGTGGACTTGGGAGCATGACCTTTAACTTGTGTTCTGAATTAACCTAAATATTGTCGTCCACCCAATCGTTTAAATTAAAAATAGTCGGTGGGGTAAATTTTAAGTATAATTCATATGTAATATGCATATAATTAATGTATAATTCATTCATATATATATATATATATCGGCTAAGAAAAGTAAACAGTAAATCTAACCGGCTATTTATATAAAGATCCATTTTTATTTTTAAATTGGGCCTGTCAGTGATAGACTCAGTCAGTGATATTTGCCCAATTACCATATCCAATTCTTGGGCCTCTTGAGCCTTGCTTCAGCCTTGTAGGGTGTATGACGGGAAGTTCTTTTTCTTTTCTTTGGGAAATTTTACAATGTGTATCTATTGTAAAAATTAATTCCGCCTGTATGAATTTGCTCACATTACGGTTTTAAACCCGCATAAGCACAGATATTGTTGCGACATGTCCACCTAGGCACGGTTAGTGCTAGGGGTGTCAATGGTTTGATTTGGCCGGTTATTTTATAAAATTTATATCATACCAATTTTTTGGTTATTCTATTATGTATAACCAAAATTAGACTTTTCAAAACCGTCTCAATCATGTCGGTTTATTTTCGATATCGGTACAATTCGGTTAATTTTTGGTATTTTTTTAAAAGTCATGTAAAAGTCACTACTAAAAGTAGAATGCAATAACGTGCACACTTTTATAAGACTTAGCAAAACTCTCTAGACAGTTTTACTATTTAAATGGTGATAAATTAAGAAAACATGAAAGATGGCTAGAGTATAAATCCATCAACTACTCTATAACAACATAAAAGAAACTAAGCAAAGACAAGAAAAGATAAATCATACGTGTAGAAAGATATTAACTAAGTTAGGACTCAGAATAAAGTCTATAAAAGATTAAATATTCAAAAAGATAAATCTAAATCATACGAAAGGAAATATATTCAATACATTGTAGTTTGCTGCTCATAATCGCTAGAAAAATTTGTGTCTTGCTAGTGAATATGCTAGAAATAATTTAGTTTTAGTAGGAGTAGCTTAATAGGATTGGTAATTATCAGATTTCAAGGAAAGCAGACATGCATGAGAGAATGAGAGAGAAGACAATCTATAAAATTTCCATTGTTATTCACGATTGGAGAGAAAAATTGAATTAGCTAACAAACAAAGCTCAGCTAACTACTTATATACAGACACTAACTAACATCTCATTAGTTAAGTTAGGTACTAACTTCTAATCTGTACACTTTAACCCCTGAACTTTCTACACATACAAATACTATCCTGGCTCAATACTCCCCCTCAAGCTGGAGGGTAGAAAAAGGTTCTTCACTCCAAGCTTGCATAGCAAATACTGGTGTTGTGTTCTTCCCATCCCCTTAGTTAATATGTCTGTTATATGTTCCTTAGTATTCACATGTATAGTCTTGATGATGTCAGCCTTTATATTCTCTCTAATAAAATGGCAATCAATGTCAATATGCTTCGTACGTTCATGAAAGATAGGATTTGCTGCGATTTGGATTGTTGTCTTGCTATCACAGAATAGAGCCACAGGCAGTTGTAACCTTACATCCAACTCACCAAGCAGACCAATGAGCCACACAATCTCTGCTGCAGTGGAAGCCATGCTCCTAAACTCAGCTTCAGCTGAACTTCTTGCCACTGTGTCATGTTTCTTTGATTTCCAGGAAATCAAAGCATTGCCAAAGAATACGCAGTAACCAGTGACTGATCTTCTCGTTTGGAGGCATGCTCCCCAATCAGCATCACAGTATACCTTTAGTGTCCCATCACCTGATGATGGTAATAACAGTCCCTGCCCTGATACACATATTTGACAACTCTCCTTGCTGCATCTAAATGAGACTGTTTGGGAGAATGCATGTACTGACTTAATGTTTGTACAGCAAATGATATATCCGGCCTAGTCATTGTCAAATACAATAATCTTCCCAATAATCTTTGATATTCACCAGCATCCTTCAAGAGAGGGTCTTGAACACTGTCATCAGAAGAAGAGGCTATCCTGTCAAAATCAACAGAGGTCAACTTCTGATTTACTTCTAATGGTGTGCTAGAGGGTTTGGTTCCAGCTAATCCAAGTTCTGAAATTAGCTCTAATGCATATTTACGTTGGCTCATGTATATGCCCTTTTCGGATCGAGCAAACTCAATCCCAAGAAAAAATTTCAATTCTCCAAGATCCTTCGTTCTAAAACACTGATGCAGCTTGGCCCTTGTCCTGGCAATTTCTGTAATGCTGTTCCCAGTGACTATCAAATCATCCACATAAATGAGCACTAGAACAAGAGACGTGTCAGTTTTCTTAGTAAATAGAGAGTGATCATAGTGGCTTTGAGAGAACCCCATGGTTTGTAGTGCCTCAGATAGCTTGATATTCCATTGACGAGATGCATGTTTAAGCCCATACAAGGACTTATGCAGCCTGCATACAAGGTACTCCCCCTGCTTGTCAATACCCTTAGAGAAACCAGGAGGGACAAGTATATAAACTTCTTCAACTAAGTCACCTTGCAAAAAAGCATTATGAACATCCATCTGATAGAGGGGCCAACCAGAGGAAGCTGCTAGTGCCACAACTGATCTTACTGTCACCATTTTAGCAACAGGTGAGAAAGTGTCAGTGTAGTCAAGGCCGTCCTTCTATGTGTAGCCCTTTGCTACCAGTCGAGCTTTGAATCTCTCGATCTCTCCTGAAGCATGATACTTAATTTTGAACACCCACTTGCACCCTATAGGTTGCTTTCCAGGTGGCAATGGCACCAAGCTCCAAGTTTGATTATCTTCCAAGGCTTGGATTTCTTATTGCATGGCATCAACCCACTTAGGATCCTTAGCAGCTTCAGCAAAAGTTTTTGTTTCTGTCTCAAAAGAGTAAGTAGCCAAACATTTGGAGTAGTGAGGCTTCAAATGGAGATAGCTGACAGAGTTGGAAATAGGGTAGGCATTCTTTTGGTTACCTACATAATCCTGCATCCAGATAGGAGGTCTAGAAGTTCGAGAGCTTCTGCGAGGTTCAAAATTGCCTTTATGTTGAGGTAATGGTGCTGGTGAGTGTAGAATAGAATCAACAGTAGATGATTTATGAGAATCCATACTATGGGATGTAGGGGAAGCAACATCAATGGGACTATTGAGTGACATGTCCTCTTGTATATCTGGAGGTGGTGGATATGTGGGCATTACATCAACTGAAGGTTCATCAATTGGAAAAATGGTTGTTGGAGATAGAGCATCAGGGCCAGTAATATGTGTATTGTGATCTTGATCTGTGGATGGAATAGTTGAACTTGAATTGCATTCACCTGGCTGCTGCATAAATGGGAAACTATCTTCCTGGAAAACAACATCCCCACTGACAAAAACTATTCGATTAGTTAGATCAAACAGTTTATAACCTTTCTAAGTTAAGGAATAACCCAAGAATACTGCAGGAATAGCCCTGGCAGAAAACTTGTCCCTTTTCTTCAAATTTGCGGCATAGCAAAGGCATCCAAATACTCTAAGATGATCCAGTGATGGGGCTTTGTTGAATACCAGCTCAAATGGACATTTTCCACCTAATATTCTAGAGGGAATTCTATTTATCAGATATACTGCAGTCATAATACACTCTCCCCAAAACCTTAAGGGTAAATTAGCTTGGAACCTTAAGGATATGGCAGTGTCTAATATGTATCTATGTCTTCTTTCCACTACCCCATTATGTTGAGGGGTATATGGACATGTACTTTGATGAGTAATCCCCTCTGCACAAAGTAACTCCTTGAGCTAGTTGTTGAAAAATTCTCCTCCATTATCTGTTCTGAGGACTTTGACATTGGAAGAAAATTTTGTTCTAATTAAAGCAATGAAGAATTTCAACACCACAATTGATTCATCCTTAGAATTCAAGAGGCACACCCATGTGAATCTACTGAAATCATCTAGAAGAGTCAAGAAATACTGTTTGCCATCATAAGTAGGCACTCTAAAAGGTCCCCACATATCTGCATGTATAAGATCACCCAATGCATAACTCTTTGTAATGCTATCTGGGAAAGGTAAACGGGTTTGTTTAGCCAAAGGGCATACAGAACATGGATCATTACAGTCACAAGTTTTGTGTTTCCAAACATATGCATTCTTTTCATAGTCTCTATAGGCAGCATTTATTCTATTAATAGGCAACATAGAAGAAATGAGACCAACAGGCAATCCTCCATGTGTGTTAACTTTGACATTCTGATCCAGCACATACAATCCATGCTCCATTCTACCAATCCCTTTCACCTTGTCATTGCAAATGTGCTGGAATATACAACAGGCAGGAAAGAAGGCAAGAAATAAGCCTAAATCCCTGGTCAGTTTAGATACTGATAACAAATTATACCTAATTGCACCTTTCTTGAATTACTCTCAGACAGTTCCATATAATCAATATACAGATATAGGCTAGACACCATGTGATTCGTAGCTCCCGAGTCTATAATCCACCTTTTTTTATCATACTCAGAAGTGACAGTGGTATACCTGTGACCTTGGCATGGGCAGCTGTATCAGTTGAAGTGTTGGTGTTGACCTGGTTGAGCATTCTTAGCAACTGAAGATATTGCTCCTCTGTAAAGAAATGTCCCGCAGGTTCAGTTTTTGACCTTTCTATCTGTTCATTTGGGGCTGATGTACATTTGTCCATCTGCACATGTGCTGCAGTTGCATTCCTTCCAAAGTTCTTCCTCTTTGGTTTGAAATCTGCAGGATATCCTACCAATTTGTAACAGACATCCCTAGTGTGTCCCTTGTACTTGCAATAATCACAATACAACTGATTCTTCTGCTTGTAGCCTCCAGTGTATGTTTGCCCTGTGTTATAGCCCACAACATTAGCTCCATAACCTGCATTGGAAGCCATTGGGTTAGCTACATGACTTGTGTTATAAGTCATTGCTTGAGCTCCTATTTCCAAGTTACTGATGCTAGCTGCCTTAGCTCGTTGACTCTCATCCTGCACAGCCATTGCATAGGCTTCATTGATGTTTGGAGTTGGAATCATCAACATAATCTGACCTTTCGCCTGAGCAAATGATTCATTGAGACCACTTAGAAACTGCACTAGACGTTGTTGCTAAATATGTTCCACAAATATCCTTGACTCAGGACATGGACATGAAGGAGTAGGTGTCATAGCATCATATTCATCCCATAGGTCCTTCAGTTTAGAATAGTAAACAGAGACTGGTGCCAAACCTTGCTTAAGGGCTATAATTTCTTGCGACAAATTGTAGATTCTAGAGATGTTCTTCTTATCAAACCTTTCCTTCAGATCTCTCCACACATTACACGCAGAGGACCCATAGACCACAGTACTATAGAGCTCGTTGGTGACAACATTCATTATCCATGATAGCACAAATTTATTGCATCTCTCCCACTGATCGTGCAAATTTTGCTCAAAATTTTCCTTCTTACAGGTTCCATCAATAAATCCAATTTTGTTATTCGTAAACAGTCCAATTCTCATAGATCTAGACCACAAATTGTAGTTCTTTGTCCCTATCAGCTTGAATTCAATCAGATGCTCTCCCGGCGTGTCTGATGGTCATAAATACAAAGGATGAGTGTGTCCTAGCACAGCCTCAACGGGATGAGTGTGTCCTTGCACAATCTCAACAGGATGAGCGTGTCCTTGCACATTCTCAGCATTCAATCCATCATTAGCCATTTTTGCTCTGAATTAGGAACCCTAGCTCTAGGACGACGAACTCCGACGAGAATGAAAGTCGAGAGAACAAATCAGAACTGTAAGAGTGACAGAAAGAGGAAGATACAGCGGAATTAGATCGTCCGCTCTGATACCATATCAGATTTCAAGGAAAGCAGACATGCATGAGAGAATGAGAGAGAAGGCAATCTGTAAAATCTCCATTGTTATTCACAATTGGAGAGGAAAATTGAATTAGCTAACAAACAAAGCTCAGCTAACTACTTATATACAGACACTAACTAACATCTCATTAGTTAAGTTAGGTACTAATTTCTAATCTGTACACTTTAACCCCTGAACTTTCTACACATACAAATACTATCCTGGCTCAGTAGTAATTACGAATTTGATTGTAACGGCTTGTTCACTTGTAATCATTTTCATAATTCCAAGACCCAAGGAAAAACTTAATGCTTTATTATTTTTAACCTTAATATATAAATAAATTTTCCATATAAATTTATTCGGTACGGTTCGATATTTTTTTGGTTTATTTTCGTAAAATAAAAAATCAACCCTAATTATCGGTACAATTGTAAATTTATATAAAAACTTACGGTATTATTAAAAGAAACCTAAAAATCAATATGGTTCGGTCCATGGGCGGATCTACGTTAACCGTGCTGGGTGCTGAAGCACCCATTAACCCCGAGGCAAATTCTGTATAATTATACAGAAAATACAGGAAAAACGGATATAACTAATTAACCAGCACCCATTAACCAAAAAGGTCTCTGGGTGCTTTGGTTATGAGATGAGTTTAGAGTTCAAAGTATGAATCGGCCTGCTTGAAGCAAATTTTTTAATAGCCAGAAATTAAAAAAAAAACGTTGGCTGCTCTCCCTTTCCAACTAGTTCTTTTACCTTTTTTATTCTCTTCCTTGTTGACTTACCTTTCCTTTTGTTTTATTTTTTTATTTTTCCTATTCCTAATAAAAGTAATAGTCTTAAAAGTTAAAAGTAGCTTCTTAAAAAGCCAAAAACCCTTCTTCTCGGCTTCTCCTTAGAAAGAAAACGCAGGGCACTTGTTCTCCCCAGTAATTTCAAAATCAGAACATAAATAAAAGGTAACAAAATTTGGTATTTTAAATTTTTTATTCAAGCTAGAGGAAACAGGAATTGGGGTTTTCTCATACTTATTGCTTATGCTTTGTAAAAATTAAAATATATTCAATGAATTTTTTGTATTACTTTGCTGAAAAGAGTCGGTGACTACAATATTTTTGTGATAAAAAATTATTTTTGGTACTTGTCATAAAGTAAATTTACTTGTTTATGTTATTTACTTGACACCGAAACTAAAATTTTGGGACAAATGCAGATTATATTAGCAACACTGGTCACTGGGTTATGCAATTGATGAATTGGTGCTCGTACAGACATACACTCATTGCTAGCTTCGAAAATTTGTAAGTTTTCTTTGCTTTTTAAAGACCAAAATTTTATGTTGTATATTGTTTTAATTTTTCAGTGGACAGAAGAATGGACTTAAATATGTTGTTATTGTCTTGTTGTTTGTGTTGTTTATAGTGAGACATGGGTTTCACAATGGACTTAAATTTTATGTTGTATATTGTCTTGTTCTTCCAGTTGCTACTGCTTCTGTGGAACGAGCTTTCTCATCCATGAATTACATAAAAAATGAGCTTCGTAACAATATTGGTGATGAATTTTTAAATAGTTGTTTAGTTTGCTATGTAGAGCGTAAGATATTTGCAACCGTAAGCAATGATGCTATTATTGATCATTTTCAACATATGAAAAGTCGTCGAGCACAGTTATGACTAGATATCTTTTTTTCTATAATGTAACATTGTTAGTAGTTGATTGTGGCTAGTGAATAGAAGTCTTTTTTTGCTAATGATAATATTAACCGTAGTTTATCTTATAAAGTTTTTACTATCGTAGTTAAATAGGTGTGAATTTATACTATGTGATGGGTAACAACTTTTCACTTAAGAGAGTGAGCACCCACGACCTTAAAATCCTGGATCCGCCACTGGTTCGGTCGGTTTTTAGTTAGTGCTATTTATGCATTAAGAAGCATTGTAGTTATAATCATGGAGATTGAAAGTAGCAATTGATGCACATTCAGTTAAAATTTGATAGTCTCTGCATATGTAATAAGCTCCTTATGATTTGGTACGTGAATTATGAGCAGAGGAAGCTTTTATAGCTATACTCCAACTTCATACATGAAATTAGGCTCAGACATAATATTATGTTGGGCCACATCAAGCGGAAGATTTTAAATCCAGAAGGTCCGAAGTTGTAAAGTGGCTAAACCTAACTCCAGACCTGAAGTAACGTTTAGTAGTTCAAACTTCAGATTCGACTGTCTGAATTTGGAACATATATACTTACAATTGAAAGTTTAATTTCAAAGTCGGAAGTTTAAAGTTTAAATACTTTGTAATTTCAATTATTCTTTAAATAGCGGTCCTAAAAACGTATGTATATTTGTACACTTTCCCCATAAAACTTCCATAGTGGCAGAGGCGGATGTAGTGTGTTAGTTATGGGTTCAATTGAACCCATAACTTTCGACGCGGAGTAGAAATTTATATGTAAAAATTCATTAAAATAATAGATTTGAACTCATAACTTTAAAAATATAATGGATTCAATGTTAAAAATCTTAAAAGTTGAACCCATAGAATTTAAATCCTAGATCCGGCCTTTAAAAATTGACCAACCCTATGGTACTCTCTTTAAACTTGCGTAATGGCCTCTTAAAGTTTAGGGATGCTAACTTTCCACTCCCTATGAAATTGTGAAGGTAGGTAAGTCGAAATCCACATTTATGGTACTCTTTTTTTTTTTTTTTTTTTTTTTTTTTTTGTGTGTGTGTAGAATTGGAATG